TCAAAAGTTTCTTTCTACTTGAACCTTTGATATCAGCTCCTCATTTCCCCTCCCTCCTCCACCCTCCCTCACGAACCCTTGATAACTTGTGAGTTTTTATGTTTTCATGTCTTGCACTGACCACTGTCTCCCTTCACCCACTTTTCTGTTGTCCATCCCCCCTGGGAAGTGGTTATATATAGATCCTTGTGATTGGTACCCCCTATCTACCCCCACCTTCCCCTTCTCCTCCTGGTATGGCTACTCTCAGTATTGGTCCTGAGGGGGTTATCTGTCCTGGATTCCCTGTGTTTCCAGCTCTTATCTGTGCCAGTGTACATGCTCTGGTCTAGCCAGATTTTTAAGGTAGAATTGGGATCATGATAGTTGGGGAGAGGGAGCATTAAATGACTAGAGGAAAGTTGTATGTTTCATCGGTGCTATACTGCACCCTGACTGACTTCTCTTCCTTGTGACCCTTCTGTAAGGGGATGTCCAATTGTCTACAGATGGACTTTGGGTCTCCACTCTGCACTCCCCCTCATTCACATCGATATGATTTTGTTGTTCAGGGTCTTTGATGCCTGATAACTGATCCCATCGACACCTTATGATCACACAGGCTGGGGTGCTTATTCCATGTGGACTTTGTTGCTTCTCAGCTAGATGGCCACTTATTTATCTTTAAGCCTTTAAGACCCCAGACGCGCTGTCTTTCGAAAGCTGGGCACAATCAGCTTTCTTCACATTTGCTATGCGCTCATTGTGTCTTCAGTGATCATGTCGAGAAGCTGAGCATCACAGAATGCCAGGTTATTAGAACAAGGTGTTCTTGCTTTGAGGGAGTACTTGAATAGAGGCCCAATGTCGATCTACTACCTTAATACTTAACATATAAATATATGTACATAGATCTATTTCCCTATCGTTATATATTGATATATGTACATGCCTGTATTTAGACCTTTGCCTCCTAGTTCTTTCCTCTATTTCCTTTTACTTGTTTGTTGTCCCACTATCATGTTTGGCCTTCACTCGGGTTTCAGTCATTCCTCTTGGGTACATTGTGCTTGATCAAGCCCTACTAGGCATCCTATGCCCTCCTCACCATCAGTTTTAGATCACTTGTTCTCTTGTCCCTGGGTTAGTACCCACTTCCTTTCACTCGCCTCCCCCTCTCCCGTGCCCTCCGGAACCATTGGTCCCATTGTTTTCTCCCCTGGGTTGTTTATCTTGCCTATCTTATCTAGATAGATATGCAGAGACAATAATAAGCACAAAAACAAGACACAACTAAACAACAATGACAAAAGAAAGAAAGAAAAGAAAAGCCTACAAATAGATCCAGGTCTGTTTGTTGACCTTTAGGAATGTTTTATGGTTGAATCTGATAGGGCGCCACACCCTAGCCCAAAGTCTATTTCTGGTATTCCCCAGGGATTTCATTGCTTTGCTCCCTTGCTGCTTTGTTGCACACCCTTAGCATTTCGCCCACAGTGTGGTGGGGTCATATTTGCACAATTCCTGCACTGTCTCCAGTGTTGTTCCTCAGAGCTATAAGGGTCAGTGAAGGACGTTTTGTCTCAGGGTGGGGCCGTGCATTGGCTGCTCTGAGCAGGCATATTGTCCTTGGGGTTTGGTGGGCCAGGATGTGTATTACTCTCTCTTCTTCATTTGCTCCTGTGTGCTCTGATCAGAGGTGCCTCTTTCCCTGAGCTGTAACTTCAGTGTTGTCCTCTGTAGTGCGTTCTTCTGGGAGGGAGGGGGTGGTGTCCACATAGTTGGGATTGGGGCTGGTTCGCCAGACCTCTCTATTGGTTCCCTGCTTCATGCCGGTATTTTGCATTCATGTCTTGGCGCACCGGTTTGAAGTCTGGTCCCTCTCTTCCTCTCCTGTGGAGATAAAAACAACACCCTCCCCTTGGGTGGGTTAGGCTTCACAGCATTAATATGGAAGATTATTGAATAGCATATGTTAGCATTATTTCAGCTTAGCCAAAGTAGACATTGTCTTAGTCTGCTATATGATCAGCTAAAGTTTCTCAACTTTTCTTCTAGGTCCATGTTCAACTTTAGTTCTAGAAGGTGGAAGAGCAAGGACTGTAGCAAAAATCTTCTTTCCCTATTTCTCCACCCTCTAGAATTCAGGTTCATAGCCCTGAGCTAGGTTGTGACAGATGTACTACTAATATTCCTAACAGTTGCAGCATTCAGTGCCTAGAGTAGCGGTTCTCAACCTGTGGGTCGCAACCCTTTTGGGGGTGAAGGGGTGTCGAATGACCCTTTCACAGAGGTCGCCCAATTCATAACAGAAGCAAAATACAGTTTTGAAGTAGCAACAACCATAATTTTATGGTTGGGGGTCACCACTACAGGAACTGTATGAAAGGGTCATGGCATTAGGAACGTTGAGAACCACTGGCCTAGAGTAATGTGAGAGGGCCTAGACACTGGTATGGCTGTTGTGAATAGTAACATTTAATCTTCGGAGGGAAAGCCACTGTGATATAAGTTGTGTGCCCATCTGACAGATGAGGAAACCGAGACTTAGAGCACTGTCCGGGGTTGTACAGTGTAGACGTGCAGAACTAGGATTGAAATCTCAATCTTCAGATACCAGAGAACATGCTCTTTACCACTACTCTCCCTCAATGCATTTCTAGGGCTACATAAGCAACTATTGATTACCTTTATTCTGAAAAAGCAAAAAAATATTTTGACTGTTCTATTAAAAACCAGTGACATTCTAAATTACGTATGCAGTCATATTAATTCTGCAGGTTGTTCATTCACTGCCAGTCTTACTTTAGAAAACACATTATAGGAGTTCCTATGTATGTCTGCATAAGTTTACAAAATGGTTTAAATATTGACTTGACAACAAAAAATAAGAGTTTGGCTGACCCGCTGTGTGCCAAGTGACTACTATTTCTGTTCACCAGAACATACTGAGTAAAGAACAGTGGTGCATCAGGTGCTTCTGATGAGCTTGCTAGATAGGTACTGAGGACTAATGCACTTTAAAATATCGTGGAGCCTAGTAATGTTGTAGTAATTGTCTTGATGGCAAATAATGAGCCCTCCCCCATTAATCATGATAAGAACACAATTTCCTTAGAAGGAAGTATTATCTAATTTCTTTAAGGCTATGTAGTACTTATTTCTGAGGACTTAAAGTCTGTGTAGTTGACATATGCTGTGCTTGAAAATTTACATTTCCCCTTTGTGCAGACATGTCCATAAGATTGGCATACTCCATAGGTGCTGCTAATGCTGTGATCCATGCTTTCACTTTCTTGTCACTTCCCCCTATAGAATTTCTAAGAGAGTGCTGGATTTTTGGTACCAAATTCTTCTAAGAAACTACTTTCTTGGGAACCGATTATAAGGAACTGTATGTGACCTCCTCCCTGGGGGACGGACAACAGAAAAGTGGGTGAAGGGAGACATCGTCGGACAGGGCAAGATATGACAAAATAATAATTTATAAATTATCAAGGGCTCATGAGGGAGGGGGAGTGGGGAGGGAGGGGGAAAATGAGGACCTGATGCGGGGGGCTTAAGTGGAGAGGAAATGTTTTGAGAATGATGAGGAAAATGAATGTACAAATGTGCATTACACAATTGATGTATGTATGGATTGTAATAAGAGTTATATGAACCCCTAATTAAAAAATTGGAAAAAAAGAAAAAGAAACTACTTTATTAGTTTCTAAGAAACAAGTTCCTAAGAAACTGCTTTCTGTGGAACTCAGATAGAAGGTTTTAAAGTAAAGTGAGGGGGTATGGTAGAGTAGGGAAGATTCCCTGTCATGATGGTAAAGGTACTAGATCAGTGACTGTGAATGAGTATGGACAGCTTGCTCATCTGGAGAGAGGATGCGTTTTAAAATCACATAAAGACTTCCAAATTACCTCTTCATGGTGAGATTCCCTCACATAGTGGGCCAATTAGGCTTTCTGGGCCAGGGAAAAAGTTCAAGAGCCACTGGACTAGATAACATGAATTATTTTACTAAAGCATACTAATAACTTTATAAACTTAGTCCTTAAAAATAAAGAAAGACATCAGATAGGAAGGCTCTCTCTCTCTCTTGAATTTTAACCTAGCTTTCTTTTTCTAACTTTTGGTTATTGCCTGCTTGTCAGTAATTTATCAAGTGTCTTACTTTTATATTTTTTGTAATTGTTATATTGGAGTCCCATTGCAGTATGATTTGGAGTGCCCTAATTATCCTAGACCTGTTGTCTGCTTTACTGAACTTCATCACCTGCTGGTAGCACCACATGAATCCCATCCATCCCTACCTTTCCTCCCCTTTGCGTTCTCTGTATCACTGCCAGCCAATGTCTGTTAGACCCTGCAGTGTTCTCTTTGTCTTATTTTTAATTTAGGTCAATCACATTTCTAACTTCTAATGTGCAAATGCTAATTTCCTCTCCTGAATAGAACAAGCTTTTAATTTGCTAATTATTTTTTATCAACATGTGATCTTTTAGATATGCATTAAAATTGCTCCTTTAAACTTTTAAAATGTTTCATGATAGTGTTTTCTTATACTTTTCTCAAATTCTGAAAAAACAAAGCCATTAAGCTTTCCTCATTAAAATGCAAAGCCAAGTGTCTTCCAGCTTTTTGTAGAGCTTTTGTCCATTATATAATCTGTAAAGTCGCCAAGAGTTCCTCAGAAGCAGGACATCACGTAGATGTAAAACAATTATGGCTTGTGTAGGAAATAATGATGTGCATAGCCATTCCTGGGGTAACAGCTCCAGTTTTATTTTAATGGGGAAATCCTGGGATGCTCCCAATCGCCCGC